TAGAGATTATTTTTGAAGTTAGCTTTCTAGCACCTCTTCGAAGCTAGAAACGATGTTTGTTAAGGATAGTTACTTGTATAATATTACGTTCTCAAAAAGTACTATAAACTATATAAATAAGTTACTTGGTCAATTGATTTGCATTAGCCAATCAGACGAATTTCTGGCTATGATGTCTAAGGGTGATCTCATATGTTAACATGATATCAGAATGATAATAGAGAAAATAAACAAATAAATTATTGATATTTGGGCAGTTTTGGGGTTTCGGTTAAGGTTTTGGGTTTTGGCTAAGGTTTCGAGTTTCGGTTAAGGTTTGAGTTTTGGATAAGGTTTCGGAAGCTATAATCCGAAACCCGAAACTTTCGGAATGGCCAAAAAAGGTTTCAGTACCATCTTTGGGTCAGAATGTATTTATGTATTCTAGTTGTAAATTCAAACTACACTAATTATTGAGATATAGTGAGGCAATTAGCTTTTTACATTTGTAGCGATTTATATTACTTATTAGAGTTTCTTATACATATAACTTTTGAAAGGAATATTATCCAATTCGAATTGGACTGTTTAATTTAACTACATATTAATACAAGTTAAAATTATTATAATGTTATATTTTTTTGTTCCCAAATTAAAGTATTCAGACACTAAATTTATTAATTAATTCAAAATCAAACTTTTATTCCAGAACAATAGCAACATAATGTCTAACCTATCTTCCCACCATTCAACACATATTTTCTCTATATCTGCTTAATCTTCTTAATTCCACAAATGTGCCGTAATAGTCACATAGATAATTTTATTTGCCTTAATTATTTAATCAGCCTAAATGAAAGATTGCTTATTAATCATTAAAATTAATTAACAAAACCAATTCATAAATATCTACCAAAACTAATTTACAGATCAAAAGTATACTTTCCAAACATTTTATTCACTCCAGTCATTTCACCTAGTTCTGAATACAAATATTATTTATTAGTCTTCGAAATAAATCAGCAAACCTTCGACACATACTAATTTAAGGAAAAAAAAAATAGCAAAACAATCTACGAATTAAGATAATAAATATCTAGTTATCACTGTACCAAGTTAACATCTATTTGAAGTTGTAATTTAAGCAAGCATTAACTATAGGCAGGATATATACACCTCATATACTTTTACATTTCACTATCTCAATATACATTAACCCGAAGATGATATATAAGTATAAATCAGCTGCAAATGTAAAAGATTAATAATAGTTAAAAATATATATTAGTAAAGGTAGGGTTGGTATTACATGAATTACAATTTACTTTACATATAAATTACATTGTAATTTATGAAATTGTACGTAACTTTTACATTAATAGAAAATTAGCACATGATTATAATGTAACCTTATATTAAGAATGTACCGGCATTATAAAAATTTAACCTAAATGTTATTTAAAGTTTTCCTTCTAACGCTACTTCTTTTGCTATAATGTGTTAGTTTTTTTTTTTTAGTAGAATAATCACTTTCATTTTTGCATATTACAAGAAAAAAAAAAAGGATATAGATTTTCACTCAGAATAATTATCGAATTCATGCTCACAGTTGTCAAATGTATTAAGAAGCCAATTAGAAAAATCGGTAAAGTTTCTATTAAGCTCTTCATTTTCATTATCATCTACATTAATATCAAGTTCTTGATTATCTGAATTAACAGATATTTCTTGTGAATTGTTAATTAATATAGATCTTCCCAACTGATGGAGAATTCGTGTATTCTAATAAATATAGACAAGCTTATCTGCTTTTTGAGTAAGCATTCTATTACGCAGTTTTGAATGAATAAATCCATAGGCAGACCAATTACGCTCACTAGCTGCAGAAGTGGCAGGAATTGATAAGACTTTATGTGCAACTTGACTTAAAGTTGGATATTGCATGCTTAATATATTTTACCAATTAAGTAGTTTTGAGGTAAGATTTTCTCATAAATACTTTTTTGCAAAACCACCCGATTTTTCAATATATTCTGCTAACTTGTCTAATACTTGATTTTCATTATCAACTCCTGCAATTCGAATTACTTCATTATTTATTATATCTGCCCATATTTGGAGATCAAGATCTTCACCACGATACCTAGGATCAAGCATATATGCAACTATAATTACCGGATTGTATAGAAAATTAACTCATCGATTTCTAGCTGTCTGTAATGTATTATCGTGAAGTTCTACTGGAATTTGTACGTTATTTATAATTTTTTTTTTAAATCTTGCAATATTTTATATGCAGAAGAGAGATATGGTTCATCAATCTCTGATTAATGTATAAAGATAATAAATGGTTCTAAGAAATCACGAAGTTTTTAAGATCTGCCCAAAACGTATAATCCACAATAATTGCTTTGATATTTTTATCTAATTCAATACCATCTTCAGTTAATATAGCATAAATTGCAGCTTGTGTTTGTAAAACATGATCAAAATACTCAAAAGTTGATGTCCACCTCGTATCAACAGTTAAAACAAGAGCAATCTCAAAACTGTAAGTTTTTTTTTGTAAACGATGAAGAGTTGCCATAGGAATTTGATAATTACGGAAATACAAAACTAACTCTTTAGTTTTTTTTTAAAATTTGTAGAGCCTATCCATTTTTAAGAATATCCTTAACCCAAAGGTTTATTCTGTGAGCCCAACATCTGAGAAAGTTCTTGTTTGAATATTTATTTTTTAAAATATTCCATGCAGCTTTCATATTATCCGTGATTATGCAGACAAACTTATCAATATTAATTTCACGCATAACATTTTCAATTCCTTTAGCTATATTTTCCGCGGTATGATGTTCTTCTTTAGTACAAACCGATTTATAAAAAATCGGATTAGGTGTAGTAATCATTGGTGATTTGTTAACATTCGACCACCCATCACTAACCAAACAATGATAAGGTGTTTCATCAAGGGTATTTTGAACAACTACTTGTAGATTCATATATTCTTTATCAAGAAGTGAATTGGAAAGAGTATGACGAGATGGAATATTAAAAGAAGGGCAAGCCTTTTTAAGAAAGGCTTGAAAATCTATATTTTCGATTACATTAAATGAAACTCCTGATGTATAAAAGGCACGTGCAAGCAAAGATTCTAATTCAATTTGTTCTTGTGAGGTAAGATTCGATACTTTTCATCTTTTATTATTATTTGAAGTTTCATTCAAATTGCACAAAGCACATGTATTAATATGTTCTTGCAACTGAGTTATATTTTTAGCCCATTCCTTCTTGTATGCTTTACATTTGTAATGTTCTTTACCCTTTTCGTCGATTCTTATAGTATATTCATCCCGTATATCTTCGATCTTGTTTTGAGCCATTTTAATTCTGTTATAAAACTTTACATATTTCATTTTTCTTTTATATAAATGATATAAATGATTATAAGCGATACAAATGATATAAGCAATACAAATGATATAAGCGATACAAATAATATAACTATTTTCGTTATATTAACAAATGATGTAAATAATTTAATAAACTTTTATTTGTTATAAAATGATGATTTCATTTTATTTGACTATATACAAAGAAAATCTGCTATCAGGCTTTAATTATATTTACAATCCCTATTCAATTAAATATATTAATATCCAGTATGAAAACCCGATAGCAGGTTTTCTCCATATACCAGCATTATGAAAGTTTGGCCGGCATTAATCATATTACAAATTACATGAAAATTGATTTTTGTAAAATTACTTAAAATTACGTAAATTTACGTAAAATTACAGTAATTTGCCAACCCTAAGTAAAGGTAACTTTAGTGAGGTGTTTCTGAAAAAAAAAAACTACTCTTACGTATAGTTGGTTGTAGAATTACTGAATTACGGCATTACGGCATAGCATCTGATTGCCGTAATTATGTGGCGGAGCCAAAATTCAGAAAATCGACCAAAATTCTGGGTCGGTATATATTGGAACGTTTCGGTATTACTTCATACGACCTATTTCCGATGAATTCGGACCCAGGCTTTTGGTCGGCACGCTTAATTTTGGATCCGTATTTATAATTACGGCAATTACGGCAAAAAATACGGCACATGCCGTAATTCGATAATTTTCAAAATTAATTCTACCACCAGCATAGTGAACTTTCATTGTGATTGGTTAGATTTTGGCGATCATCTCGTGATTTTATTGGCCGATCGACCAATCAAATTGTAAG